CTCGCAGTTGCTCGCTGTCCTGCCATTTTTTTTCATGCCGCAGCTGTGCCTGTCCTCTCCTTCACTGTTTCTGGCAGCTTACTGCCTTTCCAGCCCTCCAACACCTTTCTACATCGCCGTTCCCAGCTGTAGCCTCCCGAAACAGCACTTATGTGCTTTCCACCTGCAGTTTTTGTCTTCCAAGCACTCTTTTCTCTCATCTCCAGCCCTCCTGACCACTCCTCCCACTCCTATGTTGCTGGTATCTACCTGTGCAGCCGTCCCCTTTGCTTCCCCCATTCCTTGTTGCTGTTTCCTCCGCTGTTTCAGCTTTCTTGTGGGGCTGCTGCTGCCTAGAACTGCCTCTATTCACTGTTTTACTTGCTGTTAGTCCCTGACCTCTTTGCTACCATCCAGGACAGAAAGGACATGCTGTTCCGTTACCACCTCCGCCCACTTGGTCCCTCTCCCCAGCTTGCCACCACCTTTTTGGACCCCCAACAACCATCTCCACCACATTCTATTCACCCTAGTAGAGTGTTATGTGTCGTGTGTGTTGTTATTTCCTATTTTAATTGTCTGGTTGTAAGTTCTTATTTGATTTCAGTAATAATATTTGCTTTTCCCATTATTGTTTGTTTAAACTCGGTATCAGTATGTTAATGCATATCTTTGTTGGGATTATAAAAATTGACTGGAGGTTAATGTAAATTCAAATTGTGATTGATCTTTTTTTGTTATACTTGTCTACTAATCTAGGCTATTAGGAAACTATAAATAGTAGTCCAAGGTGTTTAATTTATCATTTTACTTTATAAAATTTCTTTCATTCAATTTTTTGTCTTGTTAATATAAGTTTGGATGGGTGATTCCTTATGTTCGATGCAAATGCCGCTATTTGAATATGATGAATGTCATATCCTTGCACTAGTGTGAGTCCTTGTCTTTCTTTACATCGGTAATTTTGTTTCTTGCCTATTTCATCGGCATTATTTGTTGTTTTAAGACTCCTGATTATGGGTAGAAAGTAATATAGGATAACTGTAACTTATGGCATTAAATTTTTTTTGCTCTTAAATGACAGGGGAGCTACTGAGAATCCCTCCCTTCTGCGACATAAGCTACAATGCCGCAGGACTGTTTTCCACGATTCCTTCGTATGGACCGAACTGGTTCAGTTCTGGGAGGTCCGACTATGGGTTGGCTCCTCCTTTCCATAGGGGGATACATTGCTAGTTATCTAGGGCATTTATATTTGATTCCGGTGTATTAGGTTAGCAGTATTTTTTGTCTTTCTTCCAGGACAGTCGACAACTTCCAGGTTTTCCCTTCTAGGGTCGTATTTAACGACGAGTGGTGCTCTGACTGTATCTTGTGGAGATGGTGATTATTCTCGACCTTCCTACTCCTCCGCAACCCTCTTTCCACTGCCGCAACCGTATTTGCTGATGCCATCGAAAAACAACAATTTTCTTTTTTCCTGTAGTTCTACCACCTCTCCTTTCCTCCCAAGCTGTTGTCCCTTGCCACCAACCCTTCTCTTCGCTTCTATCATTCCGAGGACAGCCCGCTTGTTGTCTTTCTGTGATTCCAACCTTCCCAACTATCCCGATCATCCCAACACCCTTCTCCACCTCCTCCCAGCCTCCTATCTCGTTGCCGCAACCTCGTAAATCCCTCACTGTGCTGTCTACCGCTGCCCAACCATCCAACACCATCTTAATGTAAATTCAAATTGTGATTGATCTTTTTTTGTTATACTTGTCTACTAATCTAGGCTATTAGGAAACTATAAATAGTAGTCCAAGGTGTTTAATTTATCATTTTTACTTTATAAAATTTCTTTCATTCAATTTTTTGTCTTGTTAATATAAGTTTGGATGGGTGATTCCTTATGTTCGATGCAAATGCCGCTATTTGAATATGATGAATGTCATATCCTTGCACTAGTGTGAGTCCTTGTCTTTCTTTACATTGGTAATTTTGTTTCTTGCCTATTTCATCGGCATTATTTGTTGTTTTAAGACTCCTGATTATGGGTAGAAAGTAATATAGGATAACTGTAACTTATGGCATTAAATTTTTTTTGCTCTTAAATGACAGGGGAGCTACTGAGAATCCCTCCCTTCTGCGACATAAGCTACAATACCGCAGGACTGTTTTCCACGATTCCTTCGTATGGACCGAACTGGTTCAGTTCTGGGAGGTCCGACTATGGGTTGGCTCCTCCTTTCCATAGGGGGATACATTGCTAGTTATCTAGGGCATTTATATTTGATTCCGGTGTATTAGGTTAGCAGTATTTTTTGTCTTTCTTCCAGGACAGTCGACAACTTCCAGGTTTTCCCTTCTAGGGTCGTATTTAACGACGAGTGGTGCTCTGACTGTATCTTGTCTGAGATGGTGATTATTCTCGACCTTCCTACTCCTCCGCAACCCTCTTTCCACTGCCGCAACCGTATTTGCTGATGCCATCGAAAAACAACAATTTTCTTTTTTCCTGTAGTTCTACCACCTCTCCTTTCCTCCCAAGCTGTTGTCCCTTGCCACCAACCCTTCTCTTCGCTTCTATCATTCCGAGGACAGCCCGCTTGTTGTCTTTCTGTGATTCCAACCTTCCCAACTATCCCGATCATCCCAACACCCTTCTCCACCTCCTCCCAGCCTCCTATCTCGTTGCCGCAACCTCGTAAATCCCTCACTGTGCTGTCTACCGCTGCCCAACCATCCAACACCATCTTCCCTTTTCAGCCGCCCAACCTTTTCAGCCGGTTTGCATCACTGCCGCATCCACACAACTCCATCGCCTTGCCGTGCTACCGCTGTCCAACCATCCTACATTGCCGCCACAACCCACCGAATGTGTTGGTGATCGGCGAAGATTTGGGCCTTCTAAGAGGTAGCAAAGAGTGGGATAGTGAATAGACTTGGGGTTTGTGTTTTCAATTGTTGTAATTTCAGTTTTCGGTTGTAATTTCCTATTTGAATTCAACAATAATATTGGCTTTTCTGTTGTTTAGGATAACTCTAGTATCAGTCAATTTCTCCTAACAGAGGGTTGCATATAGATTGGTGCAAATTGAACGTTGTAAGGGCCTTTTTCATTATTATTATTTTTTTATAAAATCTAGATGTCTATATGAATTTCATATTGTCCTGCTATGCCTTTCGCCATATATCTGTTATAACTTTTATAAAGGCAAACTAGATGTAGAGGGGCTCAGTTTAGACATGAAGCAAATGCAGACTTTTGTAGCATTAATAGGAAATGAATATAATAGAGGTAAGATCTTGCCTGCATCAATATATAGGTGTAGCTTGAATAACATATTTATACTAATTTTCATGCTAACTAAAATTTACTGTGAATATTAGTCTTAATGCAGCAATATGTGTGAATGCACTATCCTTTGTGAAATAAATGTGAAAATGGCAATTCGGTTGAATTGATTTTTTTTTTTTTTGAGTTGGTCTCAAGAGATCATTATAACTTAAATTTTCATATTAGTGTTATTCAGCGGTTTTGAATGGTGAAGTAAATGCTCTGAATACGGTGTTTTTATTAGGCTTTTATGTCATTTGACATGCTTCTTTTTTGCAAGATGAATTTGTTGAATCTTTATAACAAATGTTGAAACTCATATGTGATTATTTTTTATGTTTAATTACATTTTTATGTGGTAGTTGAAAGTGACTGGTGTAATTTTATGTTTGAAGCTAGCTGTGCTGTAAAATAATAAATTTAGACGATCTCTATTCTATTTGAATTGATGATTTGGTCACATCTATCGTTGACCATCTAATGATCCGGTTAGGAGTTTAGATTTCTTAGATTCGACTTATGTTAAGAAATGAAGAGGTAGACTTAAAAAAGATTTGGGCATGTTGAATAAAAAATGATCTTAATTTATTAGAATTAAATGAAAATATGACACTTATTAGGACACAATGGAGAAAAAGAATTCATGTAGCTAACCCTACTTAGTGGGATAAAGGCTTGTTGTTGTTGTTATTGTTGTTGTTGTCTATTCTATTCAAACGCTGAGAAAAATCCATCCATACAACTATATACACTGCAGTGCTGGCAGTCTCAATTATGTTGTATAGCATAAGAAACTTTATAAGACAGTTTTTAACCACACATTGTGTTATTCAATTAATTTGTTCATCTTCTACATATTTACATCAGCCTTTGTGAGGAATTTGGTTGATATCTTTAATCGATTGCAATAGATAATTTTTAAACTTCTGCTGCTCAGTAGCACATTTCTTTTTTCCAGTTGACTATACAACGGTTCCCTTTTTTGATTAACGGCTGTTTGGATAATTAAGCTTTGCTGTTAAAATATGGTGTCTTGAGTGTACGGATAACATTTTTATTTAAATTTTGAAAGCTTTGAATTTGTGCTCAATGGATACTTGATGATTAAACCAAATTGCACCTCTAGTTTTAAACATATTGTATGTAAACAGTAAAACAGTTGTTCATACAGCGAAGGAAAAGCTAAGAGTATGTTTGGCATTTTGTTTCTTGTTTTTATTTTTATTTTATGTTTTGTTTTTAAAAATATGTTTGGTTGGTATAATTTTTATATGTTTTTTTCTTGGTTTAAAAACAAATTAATAAACAAAAACAAATCAATTAAAAAACAATCAAAATGCCAAAAAAAATATTTTTATTGAGGTTTAAAAACAAATTAATAAACAATCAAAATGCCAAAAAAAATATTTTTATTGATTTTGAAAACATATAGCTTACTCAGGGATGTTTAAATTTAATTCATAACATAAACAAAACAAAACAAAAAGTTCTGGTTTCTACTTCAGGCAAACTTATGGGAATTTTTCACGCATTTTGAATTTGAAGTGACTTCTTGGATTTTCATTCACTTCTTATGTAGAACAGAGTGTGATGGGCTATTATCAATGACATTTGGATGTTTTCTCAAGTATTTTAATAAATTGGTAGTTTTTTATTATTTTTCCATTTCCACTATTTATTTGACTTAGTATTATTATAGGTGACATTTCTTCATAAAGGATTTGATGAAACATGCCGGCTTGGACTTAATAGTGAAACTGAAAAGGTATATAATTGTCATATTGTTGTTTTGTTAATGCAACTTTTGGCTTTTGAAAGATATTTCATTAAATGTAATAATTTTTATACAAATAACATTGTGAATGAACTTGGGTTTGTTATATCTGCACTCAACCTTGTGGAGGTACAAATCACTTATTCTTAAAAACTGCTCCTTGCATTGGCTAATAACAAGTAGGTCGTGAGAAATGTATCCCCTCTTGGTGAGACAGGAATGCTGGTTGTTGATTCCGTGGTAAGTTGAAGATATCTGATTTAGTTGTGTTTGTTTTATGCTATTCATTGATACTCTCTATCTACTTGATATTCTTCTATAATGAAGGTATGTTGTAGGTGCCTGGAGGCCCTGCATACAAAACCTTGGAACCTGGTGACATTCTGATTTGCATAAATGGGGAGGTGAACCTCTTTATAGCGACTTGTGTTGTATGTTTGACATTATCTTTTTAGATTTTGTATATGCGAAATCAGTAAAAATTGTCTCCTGACTCTTTGGAGATGGTCATTTTGATTCCCCCAGTCTATAAAGTGTATTAAATCCCTAGAATATTTTAATATTGGCTGAAATGGTCTCAATTTTAGCCCAAATTTAAAATCCTGGGTCTTCAGGCAGGCATATTGTGCTGGTATACAGAGATACATCGTCTATTGTTCTTTTTCTTTCTCGTCATTAAAAACCATCTATTTTTTTGTTGGAACACTGGCCTTCCCTTTACCTTGTTTTTATTATGTATGATTTAACCATTTTGCTGTACTGGTTTTTCCTTGAAGGGTTTATCAGAGGTCTTTCTTAGAGCTAGTGCAAATGAAGTTGAAGGCAATTATTTCTTATTATGAGTTGACTTCTGTCATCGCAAAGTTCACTTCATGTCATCTTTATATCCTTTTGGTGAACTATCAGGATATGTAATTATTTCTTAAATGTTGATAAAGGTTGTGTTGCCCCCCCCCCCCCCACAAAAAAATTAAATATTAGGCTTGAAATTAATTATTCTGTCAGACTTCATTTATAAGTATCATAGCCTACGTCAAATTTCAAAGGTTTTCTAAGAAGGGTTTGTTATGGTGCATCCATTGTAGTAGGCTTGAAAAATTTCATCTGCGACCCTTTTTTTTCTTAATATTCAGCTAGTCTAGGGCACAAGCAGGTCTATTGCATTTTTTCTTTTCAATTAGTATTAATTATTCTGTCAGACTTCATTTATAAGTATCTTAGCCTATATCAAATTTCAAAGGTTTTCTAAGAAGGGTTTGTTATGGTGCATCCATTGTAGCTAAAGAAACCTTGATTTGTTGCTTGTTTTTTTATTACAAAGCTAATCACTTTTAAATAGGCTCAAAGCTATATGTATGCTTGCAGGACCTTTATGATTTCCCTTTTACTTTTGTGCGCCAACCTTATGCTTTCTATGCATAAAATATAATGAAACCAACACATGCCTACCCGTGATGAGGCACATATTTCACTTATAATGGATAAAACTATCGTCTCCTTTCTTAAATCTCTAATGCTTTACACTTGTACAGGCATATTCTTTTAGTTCATTTATCTTTTAGTGGCTGTTACTGTTTGCATGTGTTAAGATACTTAAATATGTAAGCCTTTCCTTGTCGGAGAAAAGGTAGATTTTTTAATCCTCAGCACTCTTTGAAGATGACTATATGGCTTGCATTCATTTAAAAAATTTTTCTTATATTTTCTTGAAACATCTAGATGGGATATCCAATGTTTTGTTTAGTTTATAGGCCTTTAAAATCTTTTTCTTATGTTAAATTCTGATTTATGCATTATATTATTTTTTAGAAATGTTTTGCACGGTGACTGAAATCAGTCAAAACGTAGTGTGATGTTCGTTCATTATTTTCCTATTAATTTGGATAAACTTGTGGGGAATACCATTTTGAGTTTCAACATTCATTTTAAGTAGAATTAGTTAGCATTTATTGCATTCCTATGAAATAAATATGACCTGCTTGCACGTTTCATTAAATGTTTTCGATTATATGAGATTTAGAAAACAATAACATTTTGTAGCCATCAATGTCACGACCCAGCCCGGGGCTTGTAATTAACCAAGGTGAGTACAGACGATCGAACGGTGTGAATTAAATTCTCTATAATTGTTTACAATTTAGCAGATGAAAGAGTCAGTACAAATTATTTTAAAGCGGTATAATTAAAAAATACCTCATTGATGGTAATCCACATCTTCTATTAATGTTTTCTCGTCTTTCACTTGTCTTTTAAAAATTTAAGTAAATTTGAAAAGCTAGTTAAAACAACTGTGAGCTAAACGAGCCAGCGAATACTTTATTTCTAAACTACAGCAATACAAGGAAAAGAATGAACAATGTGCATGTTAGTAAACTTCTTTATAAATCAATATAAACATGTTATTTAAATGAGTTTATATCATTATCATATCAATATCATTATATATCTATACAACTATCTTAGGAGATACCGTCTAAAAATTGTGTTAATCAAGACATCAATATCAATATCCTTTTCCAGTTATGTGCATGTTCTCCCACTAGTACCATCAAGTGTGTTTTATAGCATGTTCTCCCACTAGTACCATCAAGTGTGTTTTATCATGCCAATCATGCACATATAAACAATCATCATAAACATATGTATTAATTGCATTAAATTCAACATACTAGATAAAACATACATCAAACGCATGAGTAAGTAGCCGAACATCCATAACGATATGACCAATAAAGAAAATAATATCTCAATTAAATTAAAGTACACAAATATCAATTGTAAACTTATTTAAGTATAATTAAATTACTACTATTATTTAAAAGTACAAGTATTCATCTGGATGATGCTTAATTTAATAAGCTTTTGCCCTAACGTCGACTCTTCTGAAGTGAAAATCTAACATACATTAAATTACTACTATTATTTAAAAGTACAAGTACTCATCTAGATGATGCTTAATTTAATAAGCTTTTGCCCCAACGTCGACTCTTCTGAAGTGAAAATCTAACATACATGATATAAAATTTATTTATTTATTATTTATGTAATATTAAATTTTTGTTTTTATTCAAGTATTAAGTTTTTATTAATTTACTATTCATATTTTTCTATTAAATAAAGTTTCCCTTACCTCTCAAACCACACAGGAGGATCTCTCCTGAGCTCGACCCACACTGATCTTCCATTCTCCTTCTATTTGAACACCATCTCCCCTACGCGATGGCCTTCCTTTCTTCATGCACGACAATCCTTACTCAACTCGCTCAACTCAATTCTTCTTCGTGAAGCTCAGCGAAGTTGTGAGCATCTCGAAGCGACACCTCTTCTTCTCCTCTACTTGTCACCGAAACAACATCCTCTCGACATAGATGCCACTTTTGCCCTAATTCTCACTTGTTCTCGCCTCTTGGCTCTATGTAAGTCGGTCTGCATCTTAAATAAGTGAATTTGCCTCTCCGACTTCCTGACTTCTTCTCCCTTCCTCATTCTGCTTCACGGCTCCTCAACTCCTCTTCTTCGGTTTCACAATCTGCTCGCTTCTTCTCCCCGTTCTATTTATTTGGCTTGAACGCTCCAATCCTCCTCCGTGATTCTACTTTTCCCTTCCCCTATGTACATAACTGTTACAATCAAATATATGTAAGTTGTTAGTAGTCAATTTTTAACTTTTTTCATTTTTGAAATAATGGTTTATCTAAATGTATTAAGAGTTCAGTGTTTTCACGGCTGAAAATATTTTTTCGACACTTATGGAGATTGATTCTTTTAGTAAAATTTTAGAAATCTTTTCGCAGGATATTTTGGTTCTTTTAGCAATATTTTTAACATTTATTTGCATATATGGTTTCATTGCTCTATATTTAGCGTCAAGTCTACTTCTGAAGACCAAAATTGTTTCTTCTCCATACAACCAATTTTCCTCATACATAATTATATTAATCAGGCTGAATTTTTTGTTTGATGCCCTAAAGCTCATACTTTGTTGGATGATTTTTTTATATACCTAGCCTTTTCAAGGTGCCATTTTAAGTTACCTTAGAATGTAGTTAACAGCTTTCATGTGGTCTTCAAGGAGCTTATTCATGCATTCACACACAATAAGAATAGGAAATTCAATATAAGAACTATTGAGAGAGAAGTAGATGAGTTTTTCTACAAGGCATTGATAGTCACCTTTTATATATGGCCATGTTTTTAATGATGATTTTGATTTTTTTGGTAGGTTCTTTAGTTTTTAGGCAGGCTTACATCTAATCATTATTTTATCTTAACGTAAATGATGAGTGTGGCTAACTTTCATGTGATTTTAGTAAGATTGTTCATGTATTGGCTTACAACAATAATAGGAAATCCAATAAAAGGACATGTTTTATATGGCAATACCGATTTGTTTTTTTAGGCTTTTAGATTTTATATAGAGTTACATCTAATTATTTTTACCTCTTAAAGAAGATTGTGAATATACTTTGAGAAATAATAATGCCATGTATATGGTCCAAGAGATCGTCCAAGTGAGGAATGAGAAGCCACTACTTGATGGTTAGCTTGTTGATGGCCCTACTGTCAATGTACATCCACCGTGAATTGTGCATCTTGAGTACGGTTTGAGCGGGGACAACACACAAACTTGTACTCTCTTTGACCAGCCCTCTCGTGACAAGATCCTGCATTTGTCGCTGCAAACAACTTGTCGTACTCCACAGGACAATCTGTAGACAGACCAATTCAACAACACTGATTTTGATATAAGATCTTTGGCGTGCTGAATGTCCCTCAGCGGCGGTAATCCTTTTGGAAGACTGTCTGTCATTACATCTCGAAAGTCTTGTAGTAGTGGCTGTAGTGGTGCTGGTTTCCCACTCTCCTCCGCATTTCCCTCTAATGGAACTAATGTCAGTGCCATTGGAGTATCCCGAACTGACTGCATGAATGTGACCTTTGGGACTAACGCTTCCTCTATTTCGCTTATACATTTTGCATCCTTAAGAAGTAACAACATGATGCGTTTCCCATTCTTTTTAAAAGAGTAAGTATTCTTGAAGCCTTTGTGTTGAGTTTGGCTGTCGAACTGCCAAGGCCTCCCCAACATATTATGTCACACATCTATCAGAATCACATCGCACCGCACTCGCTCCTGCAACCGATCCCCAATTGAAAATTCAACCAATCATTGTTGATCTACGCATATCTCGTTTCTCTTCTTCAACTATGTAAGGGAGTAAGACTGGGTTGTTTTTGCGTTGTCAATCCTAATTTCTTCACCATCAACGTGTACACCACATTTCATAACTCTCATTGTCGATGATCAAACTGTAAACATTGCCCTTTACTGTACACATGGTGCGAAAGATACTATTCTTCAACCATGATTGGTCTCATTCTAGCTCTGAACGTAGAACTCTCCGTATTGCTAACAATTCTCTCCCTTGTCGCCCTTGAACTAATGTTCTTCCTCTGGACTATCCTCTGACTACTCGTTCTCCAACTACTTGACGACACCCTGATCTGTGAATGTGACAACTCGAATCATGGGATAGCTGGAGGCTGGTCTGTAGCCGTGTGTCTCTCCCAAAAGAGCTCTTAGGGGTGGTGGGCAGCCCAGGACTTAAATATTATTTTTTGGCCCTACATTTATCCGATGTGGGACTTTTTGTCCGTGACATTCTCCTCCACCCAATCACGTGACACACTCGTCACGGGATCGGCTCTACCAAAGGTCCCACTGGACCATGGAGAGTCCACACACCTGGCAGACAACAATCTGCACCGATACCACTTGTCACCTCCCAAAAGAACTCATAGGGGCGGTGGGCAGCCCGGGACTTAAATATTGTTTTTCGGCCCTACACCTAGTCGATATGAGACTTTTTGTCCGTGACACGTGGCTCCTAAAACACCTTTTGACAGGTATCGAACTGAAAGAGCTACCTTTTCTGCCTTCTTTCCACTCTGATTTGTCTAGTCACTCCCTCATCCTATCTTGCTAACTTCTCCCAAGGTACCTTTATCAGTAGCGATAGTTGTAGGTGATCGTTTAACTGAAGGCTGCTGATGAAAATTGCCTGAATGAAAATTGTTGCTTGCTCTATTTTTGTTTTCTTCTACCTTCAATCATAATTTTTGAACATCTCCCAGCTGCCAGTATGATAGTAATTGCACAACATTGTTAATAATGGGCTTCAGGCCCCTCAGGTACCGGGCTATAGTGTGTTTTTGTGGCTCCATTAGCTCACACTTCATTTGCAATTCGTCGAACTGTGCTGTGAACTCCTCGTCAAAAAGGTCTCTCTGCCGTAGGTGGTGGATTCTCAGAAACATGTCTTGTAGTAATTAGGTTGAAGGCATTTCCTCTTCATTGTTTTCTTTATCTTTTCCCCCTTTGTAATCTTACCATTGCCTTCTTTTTTTCTCTCTCTGTAATTTTTCCCACCACAAAGAGATACTCTCTTTCAGCTTGATGACTGCTAATTTCATTCGCTTATCCTCCGACACCTCCTTATGTTTGAAGATTCGTTCAACAGATTGCAACCAATTAATAAACTCATCTTGATTCATGACTCCATCAATCTCTGGCAGATCGATTTTCATGCTGAAGTCCCTTTTTCCATCATGTATTGGCTCCTCTCTCAACCCCCTCTAATATTGAATTTCGAAATGTCGTGGTCGGTATTCTCATTCTTGATATCTTCCATGTGGAACAGATTTAGATCTTTGTCCCTATCTCCTTTTCGATTCTCTAGATCATGGTCAAGAGTAATCTCCCCTCGGCGTTCCATCATCAATTTCCGTAAGCCTTTGTTGAAGTTTTCAGATCTCCCTCTGTATCTCTTCCCGGGTAGGTTTCAACATGTATCTCCGGGGTGGCATGATTAAGATTTGGGTTTGGAAGGGGTGATTGAGGATAGCAAAAGAAAATAAATTTGGTGGAGGGGTAAGGCAGATGCTTGAAAACCCTATAATAGAAATAGGGTTATGCTAGCTCTGATGTTAAATGATACCAAAAATAAGCAAATCTGAGTATTATTGCTAGAATTCAAAAAGAAACACAAGGGTTCATAAAACTAGAAATTAATTGACATGAATATAAACATGACTAGGTTGAGGGCGAAAAAGATGGACTCGGGATGGACAACAGGTGTGGGTGATTTGAGCGGCAATAATAGTAAGTAAATGGAGGCAGGGGAGGGAATACGATAGCAGAGAGAATAGGCAGGGGGACCCTGACAACACGAGGAAGGAGTAAGAAGGTCGGGCGACAACAAAACTGGCGCATAAGGATTCTGACGGTAGAAGGGAAGGCCTGGGTGTGGTTGGCGCAGCAGCGGTGAGGCGCAGACAAGCTATACGATAGCAAGGAAGTTCTATGTCGGGTGAGCGACAACAGTGTGATGCGCAGGAAGTTGGACGACAGCAGGAAGGGCGCTGGGATGTTGGACGACAACAGGGAAGAAGGTTTATGGCATGAGCTTGATGAGATAAACCCCGCCTCGGAGCAAGATACAACCATAGCACCACTTGTCCTCGAATACATCTCTAACAAGGGAAAAAAAAACACTTGATGATAAGAACTCTGAAATCAGAACAAAACACAACTGAAGCCTAAAGCACAAGCAACCTATAAATAGAGAAAAAGGAAATAGAAAAAGAGGGGAAAGGAAGTGGTAGTTCTTGCCCCTTGAAAACAATAGAGTTGTCCAGCTGGAGGCTGGGTTGCAATCTTTGTTGAATTGGTTGACCGGTTTAGCAGGCCAAGTCATGCTTCACAACCATTAATTGAAACTTATTCTTTTTCCCTCTCCTTCTTATCATCTTATTCCTCTCTTTTTTTCACCCATTTCCTGCTAATGTCCCTTACCAATGCCACAAACCAATTTCATAAACTCCGACACTAGCTTGCCTCCCTCTGCAACAAATGGAAATGAAAAAGTGCACCGATTCGTGATAAATATTAAAATGGAAACATGAGAGGAATGAATGGATTAACACAAAAATAAGATTCCCTCTTACTGATTTCTTCTCGGAGTTTGGAGTCGCAAGCTATGACTATCTGTTGTGCGCACAAATTGTGCCTGCTATAGGGACCCGAGTCGCGGGAGCTGTAGACGAGCGAAACCGAGAATAGAGGATAAGGAATGAGAGGAAATACGTCATATAACGTGATCCCAAATCAATCCCCTCCATGTGATCGAATCAAGGTACAACATGCCGTGAAAAATGTAGAACAGTCTATGGCTACATTAATGATGTGGGAGAATAGGAATTTATTAGGATCAATGAAAATTATTTAAAATTTAGAACTTCATTATTTTATATCTTCCGAGCCGTTTAAAATTCATGCTTGGTACTGTACATCTAATTGATTGATTCGATGTGTAAAATTTTATAAAATTGCTTCGTTCAAATTCCGAGGAATGAAAAACTTGGGATATACCTTAAAATTTCTTAAAATTGTGTTACACAGTCAAACAAAATATAAATAGACATAGGGCAAAGAGGAGTGAATCCCGCTTAAAATAGGAGGGAATGACATGCTTGGAAGGACCGACCAGTCCCTCCCTTGCCTGGACTGAACTGTTCTAGGGCAGATGCGTGACCTATCGTGCCTTGGGCAAATGACGCTCCGCATCACAAGAAATTCAAAAATAGAAGTTCAAAGAAGAAATAGGTAGTAAGTGAGGTAGATTATCTTTAACAAGAACATTAAACTTGTTATTAAATGAAATTTGAAAATTTTGCTTTCTCATGCTTGCTTTAATTTATTGATGTTTGCTCTTTACTCTTAAAATGTTTCAGCATACATAAAATTAGTTTATAAGCAGTATGGTCTTTTTTTGCCTGTCACTTTGCTTGAGCAGTATCAACTAGTTCTTTGGGTATTGGACAACCATTACTTTGAGAGTTCTTAGTGCTTTTTGCAACACTAAGAATATTATCATATCTTATTAATAGTAATTCTTGTAAGGTGATTGTAGGTATTATAGTAGTTTTAACATTTTCCTTTTCTGAGAATTTATTTTAGTGCAGGTGGTTACACAGTTTCTTAAACTGGAGGCATTACTTGATGACAAGGTTGGTAAGGAGATCGAGCTACAGATCGAAAGGGGTGGAGTCTTATTGGTAGTAAAATTAACGGTAAACTCAATGTTTTGTATAACTATATTCTGATTAATGAACATTTGAGTACTATTTTCTTTTATCATTAGTGCTGTAAACGGCCTAACATGTATGAATTGACCTTTTATTCACCTTGATTAATTAATTATTGAGCTGAAACTAATGGTCTGAAATTTAGTAACAGGGTAAATATCTTAACTTTTTTTTACTCTTGTTGTCCCTCCGAATACAACAATTTGATAACCATGGAATGCTTCAATAAATTTATATTTGTTTTTGAATTTAATTATACAGGAAAAAGATTTGTTATTTTAACATGATAAGGTCTTTTGAAAATCACATAAAATAAAACAAATATTTTCTATGATGTATACAAATATTTGATGCTTTTTAATAGTGAGATGTATTGGTAAAATAATACTTGTAAATATACATATGTTAAAAATATATGTATGTCTACTCATTTATATTTCTATATATTGAGAACTTATTGAGACAAAACAAAATCATCGTGGTTCTTGTTTGTGGTTGACTCATTTAATGGACTGAAAAAAATTGTTCAAGCTCGGCTGACTGGTTTATTGAATGAGCAGGGCTTGAACAATTTTTGAGCCAAACAACTATTGAGCCGAATACGCGATGTTTGTAAAGAAGTTTTTTGTTTGACAGTACTATTAGCTATATCTGCAAAAAATAAAGGGTGCATGTTTATGATGCAATACGCTTTTGAACTTCAAATTTATTAATTTTTCTGAATGTTTATGCTACGTGGTGTTACCCTGACTTGTTTTACTTCAGGTTGAGGATTTGCATTCCATAACTCCAAATTATTTCTTGGAGGTTAGTGGCGCTGTTCTACACCCGCTTTCCTATCAGCAGGTATGGTGCATACCTTAGTAGTTAGTGTTAAGTAACACTTTATTCAGTGTTTTACTTGAACCTAGTTAATGCTATTGAGATTGTTATTTTTTGACATGTGCAATAAAATTGTCTTTTGCACAATTTCAATCCATTAATGGGCATACTAACTAACAAGTGTATTCATATGAATTGGCAATTCCCACGATTAGTTGGTTTCTTTGTAAAAATGATGGAACTAGGAACATGCATGTTTATTTTTTGCAATATTGGAAAACTTTGATTTGGCAAACGGAACAGCACAAATTATCTTCCTTCTTTACATGGTCTTACATATCATGTAGAAACGATCAGGTATCATACAACTCAAATGATTGAGTGATTTTCTCAATCAGATTTATCCTGTTGAGAAAAAATAATGATTTTCTTAAACTTTAAATATTCATAACCTTACTAATTAGTTATACCTATATTTAGCACTAATTTTCTAGTAATATTTGACACAGTAGTTAATAACTATTTTAATACCTCTCACTTTTATCTTTCCATAAATTGGTGTCCTTTCTGTCAAGTACTGTAATTAACCAGAAGGAAATTGATAATTTTGTTGCATCATTGCCTTTGTAAATGTCTGTAATCTAAAGGTTTGTAGGGATATGAAATATGAGTATCTAAAGTTTCCTCAAAGTGGAATGTAACTTAAATGTATTTTATTTGCTCATGATAAACTGGATTAGCAATAATTTGATGCTAGTTATGCTGTCTGCTTGTAGAGGAGTGGGACTATTCTACAGAATGCTAAGCTCAGATAGAGTCCACGAAGTTAGATAATCAGCAAACCTGTTGTAGATACCAAGTGGCATTACAATGATTAGACGATTTAAACATACATGGCTACTTTTCACATTTCCTCTCCATTAAAAAAAAACCCCTAGGAACATACACAGTTAGTAAATGAGCATCGAATATCAAGACACCTGATCACATGATGAAGAATTAAGTGGGAAAAATGAGCCACGATTTGGTGCCTTCATGAGATATTGTTGAATAATTCCTGGAATATAGCTAAATATAAGTGATAATGATTTTGCATAGATTAATTTGTTGAATTGTGAAGTAAATATTTGATTGTTTAATTGTCAAATGGTTTAAGCAGCCTACTAATTGTCTGAATGTAGTGGGTTTAAGAAGATTGCCTTCTCCACTATGATACTTCTTTTACTTGTGAAGGAGTGCTAGCCTTAGAGTATTGTGGAGGCCAATAGAAGTAATAAGATTTTATGCATACTTATGTTGGTTTAAGAAAGTATGAGGGACATTACTCTGAACCTTCAAATCTAAGAAGCACACCAAGATTTATGATTTGAAATGTGGCTAGAAGATAGTGATTAATTAAGGTCAATTATATCCGATAATGAAAATGCCATGAATATAAATCTAAAGAATGTTTGAGGTCTTTCTAAAGAATTAATGATGGATCATACTGAACTATTTACAAGAGAAATTTGGTAGGGTTGACTGGAAGTTATTACAGTGCACACAAGTAGCCTGTTTTATTATCTATATGGAAGATCTGCGTCTGCTTGCTTTTGAAGGAGAAGATGCAGGAATACTTATTCTTGAGATCACATTGAAGAAAGACATTTTAAACATCCATTTGGTGAAGTGGCCATCCTTGTGAAACAGTGATTGAGATAATTATTCACTTTGTGAATGTTTTTGCTACAAGTAAAAGTTTCATCGTAATTAGTTCTTTATTCTTATTTATCACAAGGACAATCAACTGTGCTTTATAGCGATTTAGGATATCATCAGAGCAACATTTGATCAAGTAGACCATTTATATCTTATGGCTATATTATTTGAAGGACACTAAACAATCTCCCATGTATTATCCTGAAGAGCTTGAACTTCTTTAGCCACAGGCTCGTATGTATTATCCTGAAGAGCTTGAACTTCTTTAGCCATAGACTCGTTTCAAACAATTATGTTCATTAGCCTCTGAATAGCTTGAAGGAATATGAATTGAGGTCAATGTAGTGTAGAAGTTACATCTATTTGGAGGATAATAGATTCTGGAAAATCAATTCGCATAGGCTTGGATGGTAGGTTTAGCTTATGAAGGGCTATAGTTGGACATTTTCTTTCATGTATAGTTCAGGTTTGAATCTTTCATGACATGGATTCTGTTCATTAAATTAGAAAGCTATGAAGGGGCAGAGTTAGGACTTTTTATTTCATGCCATAATTTTGGTTTGAATCTTTCATGACTAGAAAATTTCTCCTTAAAATTAGTAGAGAATAAAAACTGATGTTTAAAACATATTACATGAAGAGAGATTTTTATTTTTTTTGGAGCTTTTGCCATAGTTGTCACTCCCCAACTGACCTCCCTTTAATGGTTCGTTGAGGTGCAACAAATGTGGACAATTTGACCGGATTCAATTTTCATTAACTATAGTTCTTACTTGTAGAATCAATTTGCCGGATTCAGGAATGCGAGATGGGATTGCGGTATTTAACTCGCTGCGTCGCTTTCCCTTTTCCTAGTCATTGGATTAAGTCAAGCCCTTGCATGCTTGTGTAAGTGTGGAAGGAGTCGGCTGGGAACATTAAGAGAGCTTTCATAGATGGGGAAGAAAAGATGGAATTAAGAGAGATGGATGAAGAGAGATTTAGAGACTAAATAGATACAGTTTGACAAAGCGAGATAGAGGGAGAAAGTGGAGATTGAGAAAGGGGTAGAGGTTACCGGTTTTGTAGTTAGTGGGCTGGCTGGAATTATGAAGGAATTGGTGACGTCTTGAATTGTTTATGAGGTGAAAATTGTTGATCTTGCCGGTAGCGATGATTGAAGAAGATAATTGGCTAGAAGTGTTGATCGGAGAAATTATTAGGAGGCTGAGTGTTAGTATTTTCGGTTTTTAAATGGTAACGAGTTGGTAAGTGTAGTTTGCTGGAACAATATATTTTAATGAGAGATTGTCATGAGTGAGAGAGAAATATGGTGGTGGCAATTTTAGGAAGTGAGGTGCTGCAAATATTTAAGCACTTGTTGATGAGTGAGAGTGACAGGTTAAAGGAGGCAATTCGATGCTGTGAGCCAAGTGAGAAAGGGTGATTTGCTGAACAAGGATCTTGAGAATGGAACAATATTTTGATTAATTATGCATATTTCTAACCATAAATTTCAAGTAATGATTAATACAATAATTAATGCCTATTTTAATATATATCATTTTGATATGAGATGCATTGATGATAGTGTACAAAGCTATTGTGAATGTTTAAGCTCTACAAAATTAAAGAAACTGGGGATTTTTATTTTGCATGATTATCAATAGATATCCACGTTCATGTTAATAGTGAACTTTCAATAGCTTCAGTTTGATATAAGCATTTCACAATTTTCTGTAAATAATGGAAATAGTTCAATTATTAATTGATGGGATTATATTTCCTTGCTCTTTAAATAATGGAAAGGGTGATTATTAGCTATGGTGGGATAAAATTTATTTTCTTTTACGCAGGCTCGAAATTTTCGTTTCAGAGCTGGTGTTGTTTATGTTGCAGAGCCAGGGTGAGTACAACTATTGAAAATATTTAATTGCTTTGTTTTCTAGAGGTATGAGATTTACAGTTTTCAAATATTCTGAAAAAGCTTGGTTTTAAGCAGTACAAGAAATTTGTGTAGAGTTAACAACATCCATCATTACATAAGAATGAACGAAAATAAGAAAAAAAAGTTTGATCATGAATAAATATGTTAATGCTAATAATAAGGTTCATTATTTTATATTTTAAGTTCGTGGAAAACATTGTTCTAGAATGTCAGTTTGCCTTTTACTAAACCATACTTCCATTTTGCTTTTCCTTTCTTGAAATGTGTTTATGACTTGTGAAGAACTAAAGTTCTTAGTGTGATGGTGTCGTCAACAATAACAAACCAGAAAATAACAATATATAAATAATTCCACAAGTAAAAACTTACTTAGAAATAAGAAAAAATAGGAAATAAACCAAATTAAAAAATATGCTGTAATCGAAAATCAGGCCACCCTCGTTTGGAACTCGCGATCGCAGCCTACTCGATTCCACATGATGTTGAATTCCGCCATTCGAGATAAAGGATCCCCTGCAATACGAAATCGGGGATTTGTAATCCTATAATTTCTATTGACGCTTCCCCATCATTCTCCCTAGTAAGGATAGACTTCTTCCTCTTCTTTGGAAAGTCCTGAATCCCACTATCGGATGCATTTTCCGACAAATTATCTAAGGAGATTTCCAACGTTATGGTTCACTCTTTCTATTTGATCATTTGTCAGTGGATGCACTGTTGAACTAAAGTAGAATTTAAATCCCAACTTACTTCACAGGGTCTTTCGAAAATTGATCGAAAACTCCTCATTTCTATTTGAAGTGATGACATGGTTAACTTCTCTCAATGGTGCCAACCTAGGGAGTAAATTGAAGGTCAGAGAGTCCTGAAACTCTCTCTAGCGTGGGTCGCACTGCCTCAAATATTGCCTCTTCCATGACATTGTTTTCGAGCATCACCAAGGGTAGTTTCCCTCTTTTGGCTTGTAGAAATGTGGGATGAGCCACTAAATTTTCTCTCTGCTGGAGTACCCATGACGACCGGCGCTTTCAACGACAAAATTATAATATTCTTATCTTAATAAGTGAGTAGGTGTTTTTATGACCATCATAAAGTGTACCCGTTATATTGTCAAGGCTGGCCTAAAAGAATGTGTCACACATCCTAGACCCTATATCACACCAAATTTGATCATGCAGCTTCTTGCTTAGAAAACTCCACAAGATTTCTCCTATCAATACTAATTTTACTTCATTTCTTTAAGGTCAAAGAATATGACTGAGAATGTTTTCGAGTTATGAGGCTCAATTTTTCTACCAGTTGTGGAGGCCACATTTTCAGAACTACCTCCATCTATAATGAGGCTGGACATTTTTCCCTTCACGACGCAATGATTTTGAAATATACTATAGTGGAACCACGATTGCTATCTAGTCGGCTTTGTCCGAAAGACTTAGCGGATTACATGTATCTCACCCTCATCTGCAGATAGCTAGTACTCCTCTTGATTTTCTTCTTCTAGGTCTTTACCCTCTGCCTCCTCTACGATTCCCTACTCAGTGTAAGATATCATTCTCTTGTTTGGGCAATTTGATTCAATGTGCTCAAAATCATGAGACTTGAAGCACTTCTTGGTTGACTCATATTTCACAATGCTAGAAATCTTCACATTTTTCCTCTAGCGAGGCACGTTGGGATGCACCAATGTGTGTATTGCTGCCTTATCATAATTGAATTCTGCTTATATGGTATGACAGTCAGTTGGTGATGCTTTTTCACCTTCAATGCCAGGGTCTGTACATCAATTAGGGACCAATATGTCTGCAATTGAACCACATTACTAATAGATGATGCCAGTTTTCTAAGATATTTTGTTACTGTGTATTCCTATGGTTGTTCCAACTTACATTTTAGCTTGATTTGATCAAAGTCAATTGAGTACTCCATAGAAGAATTTCTTTGGCTCAGATAGTTGAGTTTTATGAAATATCATGTCGGTAGTGTGTGGGAAGGTATTTGTGTTTCACCTCTTTTTTCAACTTAGATCATGTGGTGATTTTACTCTTCTTTTCTTGTTGCTGAATTTGCTTCAGATCCTCTCACAATAATGAAACTTTTTTCTGAGCTTAATGACTGCCAATTTAACTCTCTTATCTTAAGGAATATCCTTATACTAAAAAATTCACTCCAATTTTTGATGCTACTCGATAAACTTGTTTAGATTCATGAGACCATTGAAATTTGGTAATTCCACATTTACTCCATGATTCTAGCTTCTCTGATATTATATGTCATATTGTCAAGGTATTGATTCTTTGTCATTGAAAATGCCCCGATGGAATAGATTTACTATTCTCTCTTCTAATAAACCGCCCTTCCTATCTTTGACTGTATCAACCCAAAATTTTTGGATAATCACTATTCTTTCTTCTAAAATACCTAATTTTTGATAACTTAGTTCGTCTACTCGAGCAAATATCTTTTTTTAAGCCTAATCATCAGCCTCTTACCTTTGGCCACCCCAAAACTACACTTCTTATCCTGATCAAAACCTTAATTGAGAGAAAGAGACTACGTCAGTAAGAAAAAAAAAACACTCACATGGGTGTTCAAGAGCTTATAATGGAAGATATACAGATAGAGTGCAACACAAGCTTGCTAAATTTGAAAGAAAACAACTCGGAGAAGTCACACAACCATAATAGTAGTTTCGCTAAATTAAGCGAAGGAAGCTAATGTCTACCTCCAAGAAATATCTGGTGATGTAAAATTAAAAGCATAATAGTTTATCATTGAATATCAAATAAGAGACAATGAATTTGCGATAAAGACTAACTTATTGGATTTTGATGGTCATATTGATCTAGACAAGTTTATTAAATGGCTCTAGACCATAGATCAAATTATTAAGTACGAAGATTTCCCATAAGAAAGAATAGCCAAATTGACAACCATCAAACTCAAGAAGAGCGGGGAAGATCCGAAGTGTCTCTGGTAGCGAGAAAGGATGGCCAAAATCAGTTCGTGGTCTAGAATGAAGAGCAAGATTTGACACCAATATTCTTTGCTTTATCAGTAGAATATCTACACCAATGATATTGTGGAGAAGCATATATGAATAACTCATGCTTAAATGTGAGTTGATGAAGCTAGAGGAGCAAATAATGCTGAGATAATTTGGTGTGTTGAAGCCATCGATTGACAGTGTGGTATAATTGCTGTCATATTGGTCCTTATTCAATGTACATACTCTAGTTTTGAAGGTTGAGTAGCAATAGCATCACCAAGGTCCCTCAACACTTTGTAGGCAGGGCTTGTGCTTAGCCTCAAGCTACATGATTTTACCTGTTAGAGTACCCAAGGCATTCTTTATGAGGAGAAATCATCCCGAAGTGGATAAAAGGTGAGGGGGGACTAGCAACCCCCAAATTCTTCGCAGTCATGAAATACTTCTTGTCATGACTTATGATTTCAGGCACATAAGAATTGATTGCCCAAATGTGAGTGATTCTTTTTCAACGAGTGGAGAGCAATGTAAGAACTGAAAAATGACATTGGGACATAGGAGAAAATAAGAATGTAAGGTAGGAGTATCAACTTCTCATCAATGAGAAAGAGAGATGTTGGTTCGACGAATCTTTCAGATTTAGTCCAAGTGAATGACAGTGGCTCCGCACATTTCATCATGGCTACATGAACACGTTGTTTCATCAAGGATGGAAACATATCTTACTCTTATCTTGGAAGGAGTTCAAGTTAATAGGCATTCACAATAGAGTTTGATATTGTAGTGCCATGCATTATTTTTCTGCAAGCCTTGCAAGGAGCACCATTAAAACTAGCATTGGTGGCCCTAGAAGGTAATGATTACGAGTAGTTGATACTTGAATGTGTATACCCACTATTGAAGGAATTTTGAGATGTTTTGACTGATAGTCTAGCCATTATATTGCTACCTCTCCCAAACTGACCTGCCTATCAGTTGCGTCAGGTAGAGTACGAGAAGTTGTAGGAGCAGGTTATAAACTTGTGGCTAGATGTTTAGTTTATGAGGGTATTAGTTAGTATTTAGTCTCAACTTTGATTGTGCCTTAGAAGGATGACTCTTGGTGAATGTGTATTGATAGTTGGGTTGTAAACAAAATTAATATCAATTTATGATTTCCTATTTCATGGGTGTATGATTTGTTAGAGTAATTGCATGGAGCCAACAACTCAAAAATCGCTATGCATGGTAGCTATCACGCGATCAAGATGTGATGAGGAGAATAGTAGAGGATAGCTTTCAGGACTCAAGACGAATTCTACTAGTAGACAATTATGTCCTTTAACTTGTCCATATCCCAAGCGCTTATATGCGGCGAATGAACTGGGTTTTTTGAGTATTTAGCGAAAAATTCATGTTTCATAGTATTTTTCGAAGAATTCATGTTTCTTTGTATTAATGATATCTTGATATACAATTGTATTATAGTGGATTATTTACAACAATTACATGAGATTTTTCAGATGTTTCTAGTGGCCCAATTATATGTTCTTCGCAAGAAGTATCATTTCCTGACTGCACATACTTCCTTGGATAGTTGTATTTGCTTCTGACATTGAGATGGATTCAACTAAGATCTAGGCCTTGAACTGGTCTTGTTTGCACTCATTCACTGAGATACACCAATTCCATAAACTGAAATATTTTTATTTGAGATTTATTAAAATATTTAGTTTTATAGCGACACCCTTGACTAAGTTTCTTAAGACAATTAAATTGACTTGGTCAGGTAAAACACTTGTTAGTTTTAATGTTTTGAAGAAACATGTTACGTAGGCCCTTCTTCCATTTCTTCTATATTTTAATCAGGTGTTTTTGGTGGAGTGTGGCACTTATAATGTGGGAATTAGAGCTCTGATGAGTGAAAGCGAACACCTTATTATATTTTTTAGTTAGAAGTTATATGATTTAATACGAAAGTACTTAACCTATGACAAGGGATTTTATGACTACATGAGAGGTCCTAGTCACCAGAGTCACATTTGTTAACAAGTGAGTTGACTCTTTACACTGAAGTAACACTCCTCTTGCCATTGGAGAATGACATGAGTGTCCACATCTTTCGAATGGAAGGGACAAACCTTAGCCCATAATCGGTAAAACTTGGTTCTTTAATATATGCCTGGTTTAGGGGTTATTGCTCCTTTTGAGTTGGCCATCCTGCAAGGATTATTGGTGCTTTATTTAAATTATTATTAGAGTATCTTTGCATGCGCTCGCGCATATTACATTACAATTATACACATATATGTATATTAGAGCCTGATTTACACTAGTTGGAAAATTCCAATTAGGTTGCCCTAAGATGAAGATCATCAGGAGTGTTTTTGAAGATTTCAAACTGGTTGGGGATTGACAGGTAGGTCATTTCGACGGAAGACATGTTATGATACAGCTGAGCACAGAAGATGATTACGCGAGGATTTTCTCAAAGGAATTCATTACAATTGAGGGCAAACATATGAAATTTCTCAAATGAATCACCAATTTTGATCCCAGTCAAGAGCCCCCAATTGCACCTATCTGGTTCGCATTACCTAAACTCAAGCTTCATTTCTTTGACCTACCTATCTTATATGCAATTGAGACTATTCTTGGAAAATCTTTGCAGGTAGACTTACCTACAGTTCATTTCTCAAAATCCTCTATTGCAAGAATTTTGAATGAACGAGATATTACACTACCAGATGTAGAAGAAGTCTGACTTGGATCTGCTCATAATAGTTATTGGTAAAAAATCATTATGAAACAAAAATCATACTACTGTAAGCACTGCAAGATGCTTGGACACCCGCAGGAGAAATGTTTCAGATTGCACCCATAGTTGAGAACCAATAGTCAAAAGCAAGAACACACTATTAGTGCACCCCATGTGCCTGAACGCGCTCTCAGCAAATTTGATGACAGCCAACCTGAAAGAAAATCACCACAAGACTGAAGTTGGTGTTTGCCCCTGGGATCCCTTTGGACCATACTACAACGGATAATGTTCGAACTGAAAATCTGGAAGTCTCGCGGCTCCTATTCAGGAAGCATCAGATGTAGAGGTAACGATTCACACTTCACATACACTGGAACCTATCGCGGGGGCAATGACTTTCTTTCCTCCTATTGCGGTGCTAACATCAAATCAGATCGAGAATCACATGAGCCAGTCTTCAGATGAAGAATGACAAGTTTACACTTCTCGGCGGAAGAAGGCTGGGGGCTCACTCCAACATGGAAACTTAATGGATGATACTTTTTGTCTCCTGGCAATAGCACGACTATTCAAAGTTTGTTATCTGGTTCCACTCCTAAAACTAGAGGAAGAGTCAAGGACAAAACTGTCTCGTCCCTAGCTACTTGTTTTCTGCATGTTTTAAATTTGTTTTACATTTTATTGAGTCTATATGTATCTCTTGTTAGAGTATTACTGTACTTCTTCGTATGGTAGGATGCCTTTTTTGGGCTCTTTCCATACAACATTTATGTATCCTTTTCTATTTCAATAAAATCAGCCCTTTGACTTTTCATTATTTAAAAAAAAAAATGTATATTAGAGCCTGATTTAGGAACTTTTGATTTTGTGTATGAATTTTGAGACTTTTTCTCTAATTCTTTCCTTTTGAGAGTGCTATATCCTTGCCCTTACTAGTGGTGTAATTGTATCTCTCTGATTTCCAAGCCGCCGACTCTCTTCTCCTTCTTTTTCTGCCTCCCAGAAACAGCCAACTATTCTTTTCCTTCTCAATTTCTATTAATTACAGGTCATATTCGGAATCCCCCCACTTACAAATTTTCTTGCCCTCCATCCTATCAAACACCATCTTTGGGTAACCCTAGATCATTGTCATATAGGCCTGCAGTGTTTGTATTTGATGTTATTTTGATTACTTGAACTCATGTTTAGGGGATACTATGGTGGTCCGCTTTTTGTTATGCCAACTTTTCATAATGTTAATATTGTGTTGCGGACATCCTGTGTTTATTTTGGACTGGGATGGCATTTGGCATGCCCATTGTTATTTTAACCAGGCTATGTTCGAAATAATCACTCATAGTATTCATTTCCTCCTATTTATCTTTTTTGTTACTTTTTCGATAGCTCTCACATTAATTTTCTCTATAGCTACTTCGAGGAATGTTATAATATTTATATATTTATTTAAATTTAGTTTTTAATGTGGCCATTGAAGGCCAGAGTTGAGACAGTAATTTTTTTTCTATGCGATCAAATTATTAATAGAAACTTAGCTAGGTATATGTTGCACAACTAAATAAATTGGAATTAAAAATATTTTTTCAACATCAAAAGGAACTCCGTAACATAAAGATTGTTAAAGGATTCCTTCAAGTTGCCTAATTTTTAAACTGGCTTTTACTAAGAACTTTAGAAAGAAACTCGTAAATAATATATATATATATATATATTTTTAATTTCTTCTAAAATTTTAGAGATAATACCTCATGTTGTTTTATCTATTGACAAGGCAAAACAAGTATAATAAATAACGTAATAACAGTAATGAAATCTAATAGTGTAAATAACTAGCCTTACAGCCAATGTTAGAATTGAAAAATGGTAAGAAGTGTGCCAAAAAATATAAAATGTTATATCAACATGACAAGGTGTAGAAGTTTAAGGAGAAAAGTGTCAGGGTACTATTTTTATTGCTGAAGGTGTAGATCGCCATAATTAGATGATTTAAAAAAAAAAAACAGGAAAAGGGTTATTGTGAGGGAGAAACAAAATTGAGACAAAATAATGATAGATTAGCCTTTTATAACATAAATCTGGATAATATATCTGACAAATGGAAGAATAAGAAAAAGTTTCAATTGGGAATTGCTTGAAATAAAACAAAATGCTCTTGTTCGATGCCTGTTGCCTAAAATTTATGTATTTTTTACAAATATATAATTAATCATGTTTTCAAGTTTTTCATATATCTTAATTGCTTGTTACTCATCAACATGTTTGTATCTGTCTTACAATTGTACAGGTTGTGGCTTATGACTTAGTGTGTTTTGATTAGTTTATAATCAATAGTTAAACTTCAGGTATATGCTCTCTCGTGCCGGCGTCCCTCGCCATTCCATTATAAATAAGTTTGCTGGAGAAGCAATTTCAAAAGTAGAAGATCTGATTGAAGTTCTTTCTAAATTGTCAAGAGGTGCCCGAGTGCCTTTGGATTATGTAAGCTATTTAGATCGTCATAGAAACAAGGTAGACACCTTTTCTAATTCTATACTAATAGGTTAGGTTATAACTTGCAATTTTAAATTATGTTTTTATTAGCAATGAGATGATAAAGTTGAATTTCTTTCTATCATCACGTTGGAATAACACGTTCGGCTTTGGGCTTAGATTCTCTTGCAATTTTACCTTTCGAGCGAGGCCGATTAGCTGTGGGCTTATACTAATTAGCTGTCAATGATCAATGTACACAATTTCTTTATTTTTTATATTTTTCTTGTTGTCTTTCATTTCATATTTATCTTTTTCTTTCATTTTTTTCTTGATGTTTCTCTAATTTATATACATATATATGTATGTATATACGTGCATACATATATATGCATATACATACATATACATATACATATACATATATGGATGGATGGATGTTGTCTTAGAAGTGAGTTTTAAGTAATGTCATTTTGATTCATCAGCTAACAAGTTGATGGTATTTGGTTTGGGTTGCTCTGTAATAACTGAAAATTATGTAAATAAGTAAAAGTAATAGTAATGTTATTATTATTAGGTATTTCAAAACAATGATGTTGTTTGGAACGACAACGAAACCTCTTGACGATTCCATTTTATTGAGACGAGTGTCCCATTCAAAGCCAATAAATGAACAACAAAGAGAACGAGAGCAAGAGACAAAGAACAAAGAAAAGGAACCAGAAGAAAAAAGAAGGAAGACTTGCATGTGTAACCCCAGAGCCGTCACCGTTGCGATGGAGGATGACATTCAGTCTCTAGGCGCATAAGAAGGAAAGAGAAGATGCCTGTCAACGCTAAAGTCGAGCAAGGAAAGGCCAAACTCATGCACTCGAGAAGAAGGAAGACGACACCGCTCTGGTTGTGAAAGTGCCCATTTTTCACATACGAGAGGCTTGATTTATGTTCGGTGCGAAGGAAGAGGAAGTGCACGACCAGGACAAACAGATTTGAGACGTGGAAGGTTGGATATGGCATGTGGGCTTCATGCGGGAGGAGAGGAGTTCAAACAGGAGGGAGAAAGCGACTTGTGTGAGAAGAACCAAATCGAGCCAGTGAAGGAGAATTAGGGTTGTTTAAATTAAATTTTTTTTGTTTATTTTAAGTGAAATTTATAATAAAGTGTTAATATATGTCCTATGCCAATCAGTATAGGAAATTAATAAAAAGAAAGGATGTTTAAATTTATGAACTAATGTCACAAGAAAAAAATATTAAAATTAGGTTATTTATTAATTGGAAAAATGATTTAAATGTTAATGACTTAATATTTAAGATTATGTTTAAATTTATTTAAGTTTAATTTTCATATTATTTAGAAAATTGTTAACAATTAAATTCATAGAATTCTAAAAATTAATGAAATTCATAATATTCAAATTATGATAAGATAATTACTATCAAATTAATAGTAAATAAATAAAAAAAATTATTTGAAGAAATAAATTGTATGATTTCAAAAAAAATAATTATTTTTTTATAAGATATTAAAGGTGAAATGAAGGCAATTTATTTTTTAATAATAAAATTAACTTAGATTAAATTAATAATAATTCCTTACACATTTGATTATAGTTTTGGATTGAAGAAATGCTAATAGAACTCGTAAGCAAGGAGATCATTCGAAAGCTTGGTGATTATTCATGTTCTTATGCTATAGTAATATTTTTGTTTTTTCTAGATCAAATGCATTTACTGTTGCTAGTTATACTTATATCATTGCATACTTATGATTTATGATTCTATTAAATTCTTGTTAATATTATAGGAATGACATATGTACTCAACCTTATTTAAAGTATCATAAATATTGAATATTGTAAAAGTATATTGACAGTTGTACGAATAAGAATGAGATGACATTATTAGATAGTGATTGTTACAGCATGCTTGCATGTGCATGATTGATTATGATGAAGTTCTCGCTTTTATGATACTAACATGGGAACAATAAGATATCCGTGCACGTAAATAAAAAATGTTATTGATATTGATGTACTTTAATTAATATAAATTTAGACGACATTCCTCTCATAGTTGTATTTAAAATGATTTGGATATTGAAATAATATTGTATGATTTAATAATCATTTTAAAGGGGTTTTTATATATGGAGGTTTTCAAAGTTTGTGATATGGTACCTCATTTTTAGTGAGGTCTTAATCTCCTACTCTTAGAACCTAGGATGTAGCTTTAAGAGTTCTTATTGACCATCCTAGCGGACTAGCAATGGAGCTCACCTTCCGTAGAACTTCAAGCCACTTCTTGACTCATTTTTGTGAAGAACTCGCATGAGTGGTTCCAAACACTCAACTTCTAGTTGCAAGGGCTAAGGACCAACATGTAGAGGGCACGAAAATGAGTTCCTATAGGATCAAACAGCCTTAGGTGAACCCTTTGTGACTCGATTACTCGTGTACGCACTCACTGCACCACACA